ATTTGCATTCAGTAATAAAATGTCAATGAAATAGACATGTCCTCAATGTCTATGAAGTTCTCAGAAGTTAAAGTCCAAAGATGACATTCCCAAAGGAGTTGGCAAAGTCTAAGATACTTATGGAACATCAAAGAGGGTCTGTGGCCCAGGTGGATTTGGGGTTCCTTCAGCAGCCGTACCCTCATAGAATGGGTTGTTTCTTTTGGGCTGCTGGAGTCGAATACTCTCTTGTTTTCCTTCCTTTAATTTATAAATAAAGCAAAGAGGGGGCCACAAAAGATAATCCCAGAACCAGCTCCATACCAACGAATTTAATGAGACAAATGGACATTCTAGTCTTTACAGCAATTATCCCAGGCACCATTTATGTTCCTGGGCGTCTTTCCCTGCTGCCATCACTGACTGTTGCCAACACTCAGGGGATCTGAAGGAGAGGGTGTAGACAGAGAAAACCATCCCGGGTTTAGCCCTCCTAGGCTGTCATTTTTTTTTTAGTTGTTCTATGAACATCTACATTTTTGGGGGAAAATATCTTCTTAGGTGAATTTTGCCACTATGCGCTGACCATTAAGGGGGAATCCATCTAGATAATCTGAGAAAATACTTGAAACACCACTGTCTGTTTCCAAATTCAGGACGTTGCACTGGGCAGTCCCGGTCAATAGGTCTTATTTATGTTACCTTTCTCTCCTATGTAGCATATTCAAACCCTCACTATTTTATTTTCCTTTGCCTCTGTGTGTTCCCTTCCTGCCCCTTGTTATATAACTTCTTGATCTTAGAAGCCTAGGCCTCCTAAGGAAGCTTTCTCCCTCCTATATAAGCCAGAGCCAGTTTGAAAACATGAGCCAGAGAGGATGGTGACCCTTGAGTTGTAAGTAAGTCACATGCGTTAAGGTTAGGTCTCCGCAGTTCCCTTCTTGCCCTAGGCCCGGATGCAGAATGGCGCTGAGTGCCCCTAATCCCACCTTTGCTATCCCCTACCTGGGCCTGGGCTCTGGCCTGGACCTAATAAATTACAGCTGGACCCTCAAGAGTGCTCTGTGATACAGACCTTCGCTGCCTTACTTTGACTTCTGTAAAGTTCCTGGCACAGAGTATGCAGTAAATTAAAACTATTATTATTTTTTTTTAAGTAGTAAATTTTGTTCCCCCTCCTGAGGTCTCCCCTACCGTTGAACTCTTGTTTAGGAAGATCTCTGCCAGCCAGTTCAAGGACAAGCCTCTATCCTGAGGTTGCCTGTGCTCACCAAGGTGATGACCAGCTGGGCCCAGGCAGCTCTGAGCATTTTCCCACGCAGCCCTGTGGCATGTGAACTACCTTCAGAGAAGCAGCTGCTCATCCATGGACACAGCCTTTCTATAAGCGTTTGTCATCTACCAAGATAAAAATATCACATGGTCTGTGGTTTACAAACTCCCCCCAGGCGGCAACGTTAAAATTTGGCTCAGAGCTGAGAAAAACTTGCCTGGTCTCCCATAAGCAAGGCCAAGGTCAAAACGCCCTGCTCACAGATCAAGTTCAAGACCCGAAGCCTTGGCCGGACCAGAACTTTTCCACATGCTCTTTTTTTCCCTCCTCATCATGTTATTTCTTGTCTGTGTATTAATTTTATGACCCAGTGTGCTGGCCAGATGTTGAGGTCCAAACTTACCCCAACATACCGATTTTGCAAACCCTGAAAGGCCTGGCCCCTTACGGAACTACCAAGGACACACTCTCCAGAGTAGGCTTGTCACTAAAGGAAGGGGCTGGGCTATTCCACTTGCTGGTCTCACTTTCAACATTTCTGTATTTGGCATAAGAAGCTTGGATGTTATTCATGGCAGTAAATTTTAAAAATTGGTTTGTTTCAAGGCTTACACAAGATCATGCCCCTTCAGCTCTCAAGGTCCCCTCTAGTCATGTAATTATGATGGGCCTGTTTGCTCTTGTTCACTTGGGCATTCAAAACAGAATGTGATATCCAAATACTAAGAGGCTGTAAGTGGTTATTGTACTGAATGGTGATGGACTTATTGTGGTGATTTTACATTTGAAGGTGAAATCAGCATTTCACATCTTTCTCTGTGAAGAGATTCTACAATCCATCCCATCTGTCTTTGACATTCTTTGGAAATTTTATTCATCTTTGTCTTCTTTTCTCACTTAACTTTTCCTTTGTTTTATTCTATTACTTTCCCCACTCACATTCTTACCTCTTGTGTCCTGACCATTTTTTCCTAAATGCCTGCCTTCTCCTGGCTCATCCCACTGTTTAACTTGATTTCTCTCTCCTTCAATTTTTATCTGAAAAGGTACATTAGGAATTGTTTTTTCTTAATTCTTATGTTGAGGTGGTCATCCTCAGAGAAAAAGCAAGTTCATTTGTGGCAAAGATGCTTCTCTGTTGGAAAACAAAGGGCTGGGATTGGACCAGAGCATCTTAAACTTTCAATGACAGCAGCTTACTTGCTGACAGTGTTCAATACTGAACACTCTTCCAGGGGTGTCGCTGAAGGATGCTGGCCACATGCACTCACAATGTGCCTAGCTGTAATCCTCTTTTATTTATTTTCTCTCCATGTGAGAAAGCCTGTTGCAATGCAAATGACGGTAACGTCATAGAATGTACTAATCAGAATATCCTAATTAATTTTAATGTCGATTCTTTACAAATTTTATTTTAACTGTTATTTGTAACTCATAATTTCCATATAGCTCAACTGAATATATCCACTGGGCGAAATGATGTTTAATAAATATCATGTTTTGATGATAACATTCCATTTTTCTAGAGGGGCATCTTTGAGAGATGAATTCAGTGGTACCAGTAAAACCAGGTCATTTTAAGTTCTCCGAACCCCATTCTTACTTACATAGTATCTGTCTTTTTCACCTGATTGGCTTCTCTGTGTCCTTTTGTCTTTTTATATTCTGCCTCTCTATCAGCTCCCTCCTGCCTAGATCGAATGTATGATCATTAAAAAATTAGATAAGATCATTGCTCTAAGGACAGTGAAGTTTTGATTGTATATATGCAGGCAGTGTTTTTCAAACTTCACTATGAATCCGAATTACCTTGGGAACATGTTAAAATGTAGATTCCTGGGCTTCAATGTACGTGTTCTGGTTCATTTCGACTTGTTAGTGACCCAAGAATCTGTATTTCTAGAAAGCATCCCATTGGTTATAACTGATAGAAACCATACTTTGAGAAATATTGGTTTCTTCTTTCCCAAGCAGAGGGTAAGAAGAAGGAGTAATTTTGAACAGTGGAGAGAACTGTCATAGCCTGGGCCTCAATGGGGTTCTGGATGGGGGTCTGGAAAACGTAAATAGAGCATTAAAAAGGACAATGGGCTCCTGGGAGATGCAGAAACAGGGAATCAAGGGTGGCGAGGACTAGCGTATGGACAAAGGCTTGAAGGGTCAGTAATGATAACATTGATTCATTTCATAATTTTCCTTAGGATTGACTTTGCTTTTTCAGTTAGAAAATTTAATAGCAATATAAATATAAACTCTGATTATAAAGGTATTTTAATCTTTCTTGAGGAACTGACACCGTCATTCAGTAATTCAGTAATTTTTAAAATATTTCAGGCTCTGCCCTGACCGGTTTGGCTCAGTGGATAGAGCGTCGGCCTGGGGACTGAGGGGTCCCAGATTCGATTCCGGCCAGGGGCATGTACCTTGGTTGCGGGCACATCCCCAGTGGGGAGTGTGCAAGAGGCAGCTGATCGATGTTTCTCTCTCATCGATGTTTCTAACTCTCTATCCCTCTCTCTTCCCTCTCCCTTCTTCTCTGTAAAAAATCAATAAAATATATTTTAAAAAAGTAAAAATAAAATGTTAAAATATTTCAGGCTCTCTAGGGTATTGAACAATTTAGGTATAGGATGACTTTTGACATTTGAAGCGATAGCATACAATTCCATATAGTATTTCATTTCCAGTCCTATGATAACAAATTATGTAGCATAAAGAAGACAATAAACTATGCCATATGAAAAAAAACAGAATTTAGCTTCACAACTGAGAAAAAAATAGATTTTCACTTAAAGGATATTTATACATCATAAATCAAATCAGTAAGCCAAGTTGTTAATGTTTTAAAATTTAGAAGCTGTTTAAAGATTTTTATGAAGATGCTACATATCCTTTAATATGTCAAATAACAACCAGAGATAGATGGTTAAATCTAGACCATTTAAAAACTCCAAACTTTAAAAAATATATATTTTTATTGATTTCAGAAGGATAGAAACATCAATGATGAGAGATAATCATTGATTGGCTGCCTCCTGCATGCCCCCCCACTGGGGATCTAGACTATAATCCGGGCATGTGCCCTGACCAGGAATTGAACTTGGCACCCCTTCGTCTCCTGGGATGACGCCCAACCAACTGAGCCACACCAGTCAGGGCCAAATTTTTAATTTTAGCTTATTATTTCAGCTCTTTTTTCTCATTCAGCCTTACTCAGAGCTGTTAACAAGGAACTACTTGGCTGGCTTGCATTTTTTCTTTAGTGTGTCAAATAACAACCAGAGGTAGATGGGTACATTTAGACCATTTGGTGGCCAGCCTCTAGTAGAAATCGTGATGAGACAAAACCAGGCAAACAAGTGAGCCACTGGGCTGGAATGGGAGCAGAGGCGGTGGGCATGGAGAGTCTGTTGCTGTTCATCCAACCAACCAGAATGCTTTCATTACAGCAGCCATGCCATAAAAGTGTCTGGCACAAGAATTTCGTTCCTCTCTCTTTCAGCTGTTCTGCTTCCACCATCTATATAAGTCTACCATTTTGATTTTGTTCATTTGATGGGAGAGACTTCTTCCCTCTGGTAATTGGTGCTTTGGGGAGATAAATAGAGTAATGGAAGTTGAACTTTGGGGGAGCAATGCTGTTCTTCTTGTGATTTGTATCTTGTTTTGAACTTCACTTAGTGCGAGACCTGGTCTCCACTGGCTCATGTTGGACTAAGCTTCTCCGCCGACCTGTGCTCTCTTGTAGGTGATTCGCAAGGGGTGGCTCACCATCAGCAACATCGGCATCATGAAAGGAGGCTCCAAGGGATACTGGTTTGTCCTGACTGCTGAAAGCCTGTCCTGGTATAAAGATGACGAGGTAAGCCGCAGCGGGTGACAGAGTTTTCTCATTGTAAGTTAAGTGAGATTATTGTGATATTCAATGTCGAGACACCAGTGGTTCTCTTTCAGTGAGACCTAGCTTGGGATGTGTGTTTGAACAAGCACTGTGCTTTTGTTTTCCTCATAAATGTTTAATTTTATAATATTCCCCTTAAATTTCTTTTACTTCAGTGGTGTAGTCCCATGTGTGTTTACCTGAAGAAACGGAGTGAGGAGTCAATAGTTGCAAACTATTTCTTTGTAATAATGACAGGGGACTAATTCAGTGAGAGCAATTTTCATTAAATAACGTGTTGAAAAGACTCAAGGTAACAGAGCATTCTAACAGCGAAATTAATAGCACTGATGCCAAGTTAATAAAAGTGTTTTAGAATTGTTGCTGTGACATCGGTCTCGAATGACAGGGTTTTGAAAATGTCCAAATCACTCGTCTTCAAGTCCCTGAAAACTGTTTATGTGAATTTTGTTCTTTGAGAATTTGATATCTATGTAAAAGCATGAATTATGATAATGGTGGTGTTCTGGTTCATGTTAGATGTTAATAATTTTGGTCCTGTGACTTACTACTCATTTAAATCTGATAGCTATGAAATCACACAAAAATATACTATGTCGTTCTTGCAGAGCCATTAAAGAGCTGTAGAGTGATACAGTGTTACTGCTCAATTGGGAGGGCATGGATGGAAATTGAACTATGTCTTGGAAATTTTAATAACGCTGGTTCTACCCGAGAAGTTTTTGATGCTTATAATGCAGCATGCAAACATTCAATAAGAAAACTAGTCCATGATAGCAAAACTATTTGGAGGTGAGACTATCTCAAATATATTTGAGCATGCATTCCAGACGTAATAGTCCTTCCAATCTTGGTTTCACATCTTTTAAAAACACTACAAGGTACCCTTGTCAGTTGTTGAAGGAACATTTTTATGTCTTTATAGTTTTTCTGTTCCCTAAGTGCTTTGTGGACAATAGGATTTTGAATGAATATCAGGTGATTAGGTGATTTCCACTGAGTTTTCTGCAATAAGGGAAAGCAAATCCCATAGAAAGGTCCAAAGAAAACTTCTACTCAAAAGCCTTATTTTCAATTTTTATGTCATATATTTTACCGACTTCAGTCAAACATGGAATTGGTTTTTGGGAGAGTCTGAGGACTAGTAATGGTCACTTTTCTGCGCTGGCTGCTGTCTCTATCATTCTGTGGGAGTCCGCAGTGTTCGAAGAACACAGAAAACAGACTGACAGCTGTCAGTGGGTTGGGGAGCTGGGTGAAAAAGGTGAAGGGAGTAAGCAAACAACAACAACTAACTCATAGACACAGACACAGACAACAGTATGATGATTACCAGAGGGAAAGGTGGGGTGCAGATAGGAGAGGCTACTGAGTTGGGCATGATGTGTGGGGTGAAATACTCATGTGTAAAGAGTGGGGTGGCAAGAAGAGAAGAGGAAGACCAGCTAGGAGACTGTGGCAGTGGTCTAGGCTAGAAGATGGTGTCCTGTCCTGGGTGGCATGAAAGGAACACTCAAGTTCAGGGTAGCAAATTGAAGGGCCGCCTACAGTGACACTGCCACTCATTAAAAACTCTGCTCAAGAAATAAGATATGAGGTTTTCAAAATATTAATGCCCGATTCACGAATGACCCTTATCTCAATGTGTCTGTCTCAGTGGGACAAAGCCTTTCCCAATGGGGCCATCATCAGTCATTCCCACCTTCCTGACCACCACCCCACCCCGGGTGTGCCCTCCTCTGCTATTTATTTTTTTTTTGACAGATCTTCTTACCACTGCAGACCACCTCTGAGCCTGCTCTCAGGGCAAAAGAGATGGGACAGCACTGTCCCTTACTCACTGCTAGTGTTCAACAAATAGTCGTTAGTGTGTACCGGGAACCGGTGTTGGAAGGGTGTATGGGGAAAAAAGGTCAAGGAAAAGTGTCAGGAGGATGGGGTTCAGAGACACTGATTCATCCCTGGCTTCTTGAGTTTATACCCCAAACACCATCCTTCAACAGCCATGTTTTAAATAATGCATAGGTTCCATAAAGGTCTAATTGGCAGAGTTCAACTACATATGAATTGAACATGCTTCTGTGGGAAACCTCAGAAAACCCAAGTTTAGACTATTTCTTTGTGAAAATAAGCTTCAGTTCAAACTCAACTTCTGGGGTCAATTTGTTGTAAGTTGAGTGCTTATCCTTTGTTCCCATGGTATCTGTCTCTACCCACATCAGCACCTTCACGCTTTGGAAATCCTGTTACTTGACCATTTCTCTTAGTCAAGCAAATGTGACACAGTAAAAATAATTAAGTTATTTATAGATTTGCTCATTTATTCAATGATAACTATATTCACATTTTCATAGGGGATTTTGATGTTTTTTCCCCCTGTGTTCTGCCGTTCTCCTGCTTTCTCGTGTAATTAGACTGGTATGTTTTCATTATAATCTAAGTGGCTGTTGAATAAATAGCATATTGCATCATATGACTAGATATGGTTTTATTTAACTTATGACAGGTTTGTAATAAATACAAACGACTTGTGAAATATATCTGCGATGAAAGAACAATGGCTCAAACTGTTCTTCAGGCTGACATTAATTGAACAAAAGACCTTATAGACCACATACTCCGTACACTCAAAAGGGGGAGGAGATGGGGGATGTAGGCTTGCCAGGACTAACTGCCAGGGGTTGGAACAAGTAACTCTTCTCTGCGCCTCAGTCTTTTCACTTCCCAAGTGGGAACCATTACCAACCAAATCACCCCAAAGGGATTTTTATAGAATTCTAAGAAATCAGATATTACTAAGTCTAAGTGCTTAAATAAACTTTTAGGAATCATATTTATGTTTTTATTTTTGTCATTGCAGGTAATAGTATTCCTTTCTTCCATGATGCCATTTTTTGACTCATGTCTTCGGATTTTTAATTTTTTGTCATCTCATATCTCTTATTGTGACATAGGACCTCATTTTTCTTTGCTGTTATTGTGTTTTTTTAGCAGAGAATGTTAAGGTTCAAATAATAAGAGGAAACTCAGATCCCATTCCTTTAGTGAGACTTTCCATGCCGCCTCCCCTTCAGCCTATGGGTTCTCCTATACTTCAGCCAAGAAGTGGAGATGATGATATCAAACTATGCGATTTCCTAGCCAAGTTGGCAGAGGCAAGAGCATAATAACCCTGTATAATAATTTCAAGCTAGAGTTGGCATGACTGTAATAGTAAGTCCCAGCATTTTTCCTTCTTGTTCTGAACAGATCCATCCATACCCTTGAATTTTAGATGAGTTTATGAACAACCTTCAACATCTGTGGACTGTACTTTTTGAACCATTATTCTACATTAAAATAATGTTACTTGTAATGTTATTGATAGATGAGCCTAACAGAAAGGTTTCCACCAGTGTCTAAGGCAATGTTATTTCTACTGTTATCTTCAGAGTCTTTATAATACAATGACGTTGTGGTAGGCATAATTGATCTATCTGCTTGGCATTATGCTATCCTCTAACTTTACTCTGAGATTGGGGCTTTCTGTGACACAAAAAGAAATAGAACATCTTTTACAAGGTTAGACAGTTTATAACTAATTACCAAGGGGATTTGCCCAAACATAGATGTCAACCTAGATGTCCGTTTAGGTCATGCTCTAGTACCCCAGACTCTGAAATATCCTATACATGTGGCCCTGAGTGCATTTCTAGGGATTACATAGACTTCTAGCTAGGTTCATCCTCCCCAGGGTATTTTGCTAGTGTGTACCCTAAGTCAAAGAGGAGTTGTCCAAGGGAGTGAGGACAGAGCATGGATATGTAGGTTGTATATCCACATATATCCTCTTGGGCCTTGAGTGGATGATACTTAGCTCCTTTGATTTCTAACAAAATAACATAAGGATATTTGTAGTACTTATATTTACTAAGGGTTTTGGGAAGCAGTACAGCAGTTCAAACAACCTCGAATAGAATGTTAGATAACCCTTTGCGCAAGAGTTTTAAAAAAAATACATATATTTCTTTATTGATTTCAGTGAGGAAGGGAAGAAAGAGATAGAAACATCAATGATGAGAGCCATTGATCAGCTGCCTTCTGCACGCCCCCTACTGGGGATCTAGCAAGTGTCCTGAGCAGGAATTGTACTGTGACCTTCCGGTTTATAGGTTGACACACAACCACTGAGCCACACTGGCCGGCCACAATAGTTTTTGAGGAATGGACCCTCCACTTGGGTGTGTCACTGACAGCTCTAGCCTTGTGCTGGCCCAGCCCAAGGACAGTGCTTTGGTTTATCTCTTTCTCTTCCCTTTCCCATATCACCCCTCAATGCTACCAGTCTGGAAATGTCCCAACTCAAGGTGTGTCTGTCTCTATTGTACATTCACCCTTCCTACATGCTCACCTTTGCAGATCCAAACTAATCAAATGTTCAAACAAATCTAATGGACTTCCAGTTAACAAGATGCTCCCTAATTGAACAGTATTTGTGGTTGTCAATAGTATCGCTGCTATTCATTCTACCTGCTTAAACTCTTGCAGGTCAGCTTTCAATCTGAGTGATAATCGATGATGATCACCATCCTCCAAATGACGAATATTTATTGAGTATTCATAGTTTACCAGGCATTGAGCTAATTTAGTACTTTATTTACATTCTCCATATTAGAAATGAAGATTGAGACTCAAAGAGAATGAAGAGCTTAGCCCACAGCTAAAAGTCAGTGTGTGCTCTTAGTTACCTGAACACTTCCCAACAAATATTTTCTGAACAGCCATTATGGACTAGACTAGACACTCTCCTAATCACAATGTACAGATGGTTAGCAAGGAATTCATGGTACCTGCCCTCATGAAGGATTTTCCCTATAAAGAAAATAGACAAATAGGAAAACAGAAGCAGATGACAACCTAGGCCAGGGATAGCGAACCTTTTGAGCTCGGCGTGTCAGCATTTTGAAAAATCCTAACTTAAC